ATATGTGTTATGTGTGTTTATACGCAAACACAAATTTACAGTTTTAATATTTAATTTAACTACAATGTTAAGTTTACATCATAATACTGCAAGATTAGAAATGCCCTGTTACGCCTCTGGTCGTTTGTTAATTTTCCGTATAATTTCTTTTGGATGAAACTTTAGCGACACAAGTCCTTTCTTAAATAAAACTAGTTTATTCTTTCTCAATTCAACTTTGTAATACACTTAATTTCCACAGTCACTTTAAGCACATGCTATAATTCACGTACTTACTTACGGTCACTACCGCGCTTGACTCAATTGTCCATATTTATCTCTGCCTGTCTACAATTCAATTCCGATTGATTAGTCTCACGTTAACAGGCGCACTTATATACAGGAATAGAGGGCGCCTAGCCCATACTGGATTATTCGTGATGTTCCCCGATCTTTCGAGAATATCATGACGTATTACCAGTGTCACGTGACTACCGCTGTCGTAACAGCCCCTTCCTGCAGGCGCCCATGCGAACAAACCTGAGATTGTTGGTTGAGAATTGTGCAAATAATTTGGACCAAATGCAGTGATAGCAACTCTGTGACTTGGTGAAATATGCACATGTATTTGTTGTATCAGATGGCCGATTGGGTCGAACAACAATAGCTCACTATTATATAGATATAGGCGACATATGCCCAATTAAACAGTTCCATGCTGCTTCCCTGGCGTACATGAGTTGTATCCAGCCCTGAGATAATGGATGATAAAAACAGGACCATACAACTTGCAGAGAGTGCTTGATCATCTCCAGTAGTGATTGTCAGAAAGAAGGAATGTACGCCAAGGTTCTGTTTGGATTTTTGATGGATAAATGCAGTAACTCTTATTGACACCTTTTCCTTGCCACGAAAAGATGAATGTCTGAACACATTAGAAGGTTCTCACTTTAGACCATGCACCAAGATATTAGCAAGTGGAGATGGATGACGAGAACAGAACTAAAACTGCTTTTAGCATGTGAGATGGCTTATATGTGTTTCCTATTATGTCACTTGGCTTTTGTAACGTTCCCACTTCTTTTGATTAATGGAGCTTGCACTAAATAGTTGCAACAGAAGAGATGTCTTGTCTATATCGACAATGTTTTGTTGTTTGGCTACGCATTTGAGCCTACATCTGAGAACTTGAGAATGATATTCCACCATATAAAATATGCAGTATGAAATTGAAACGAAGAAAATGTGTGCTCAT